GCGAGGGCGGACAGGGAGGCGGCGGCGGCGGCGCCCGCACCCGCACCCCGCCCAGCCCCCGCCCCCGCGGCGTCTGCAGGGCGCGGCGGCTACATCGCGCCGCACCTGCGCGCCAAGATGGCGGCGGGCGGCGGCGGCGGCGGCGGCGGCGGCGGGACCGCGCCGGAGCGCCCCGCGCCTGCGGCGCGCGACGCCGCGCCGGCGGCGGCGGCGGCCAGCAGGGAGGAGGTGGGGGAGGAGCGGGGGGGCGGGGCGTGGCGCCCCGCGCGCGGCAGGGACGACGGCCCGCCCCCCTCTGGCGGCGGCGGCTACCGCCCTCCGACCGCACGCGGCGAAGGCGGCTACCGGCCCCCTGCCCAGCGCGGCGAGGAGGAGCGCGGCGGCGCCTACCGCCCGCCGGTCAGAGGGGACGACAAGCCCAGGGGGGATGAGGAGCGCGAGCGCGGCGGCGCGTACCGCGCTCCCGCCCGCGGCGGCGGCAGCCGCTGGTAGGCGGGCACGGGGCTGGGCCCTGCCGCCCAAATTCCGCGAATCGGCGCTGTGTGTTGGCCAGCCCTGGCTGGCCAAAAAACTGCGGCACCTCTGCTGTTTGCTGTCCCTCGGGGCCCCCGTGCAGCCCCACCCTTGTTCTGCTCATTTGTTGCTTGCAACCAGCTGTTCTGAACGATGCGGTGTGAAGCATAAGGACTTCAGTGCTCCAAGCATGGGTGTGCATGGAGGAAAGCAGGGGAGGGAGAGGGGCAGCCCGGCCATGCTGCGTTCTGCAGTGGTGGCTGGCAAAGCATGCATGTGTTGCCCGCTGATGTGGCACCTCCCCCGATTCGTCTGGCTCATCAGGCACGCTCTCTCCCGCGATCCCTCCCTTTCCTTCGCCTTTCAAAGTCTCTAAGGCTTCTATTTCTCCCCTCCCGCACCCCGCAGCTGCCGCAAATTTAAAATTATGAACCAACCTGTCATCCTTTATGCCTTAGAACGGCGCCAAAACGGCGCCAAGAATGTGTTTCTCACTAAGTCAGATGTAGAGGGCATCATCCGGATCAAGCAGGGCGACCAGCAGGCGCCCTCAGGCCGGCGGCGGCGGGGTGCGGGAGGGGGGGCGGCAGTGCAGGGCGGCACCAAGAACTACAGCAAGAAGGTGCTGCAGTTCTTCCAGGTGCTGAAGGGCGCTGGCGGTCAGGACATCCTGTGCCGCTGCGTCAAGCGCAGCGGAGAGTGGCGGTGGTGCCCCGTGGTGCCGCTCGAGGAGCTGCCCCGAGTGATCAAGGAGCACCACGAGCGGGCGACTGGCTTCAGCGGTGTGGAGAAGCTGTACACACATGTGAGTGATACAAGGGGTGCAATGCTGCCGCCAGACCAACTGGAGAGTGCTCTGCATCAGGCAGCAACCGGATGCATCGCAGCAAGCACGGGGGGTGCGGCACGGCCAAGGTGGCGCTGCCCTCCTCTCCATCTATCCCTCCTTCCCTCCCTCACGCCGCGCACTCCCCTGGTCCTCCTTTGCTGCTCTGCTGCCTTTCCTGCAGCTGGCCTACAACGCACCCACCGAGCTG